CCATACTGGTAAGTTATATTTGAAAGATGTTTTGAAGTAATTTGAAAGAAAGCAAAATGTTAATAATGTTTTAACAGGGACTGGAGTTAAATCATCATGAAGAATAAAATTTCAATTGTAAAAGGAAAAATTGAAACATGTAATTATTGTCATTGATCGGAAATTAGTTGACTTTTCAAGGGGAACAAACCAACTCCCGTTCAATGAACAATAATTGATAAAAATACGTAAATACGAAAGTGTTTCGTCTTTACTCGAGTTATAAGTAAGAGCCAAACCGGCAATTCTAGTCAGGCCAAATATTTCCGCGAATAGAAGGAATTATGAACCAATGCTGATACTCAAAGAACTTATTCTTATGAAGCATTTTAGTCAATTCAATTTGGAGTAAAAAAATCAATTACTGTAGAGAAATTCTATTTAACCGAGTAACCGTCCCGACACTTTCATGTTTATGCTTTGAATACTATATTATTTGTAGAATTAAACATTGGAAATTGACATTATGAAATCGAATTCAAAGTAAAATTGAAATAAACATAGAAGATTATAAAATAAGATAAATAATGCAAAACTTTGTAAAAACAATCAAAGACAATATAAAAATAATATAAAAAATATAGAAAAAAATATAAATAAAATCAGTGAATGTACATGAAGATATAAAGGCCAGAAAAGTATTAAGTAACTTACATTCTTTCTAGTGGGGGAGTTGGCAAAGTGTTCTCTTCGTGTCTGACTCATAAGTGTTAGGGTGTCCGAAAATTCTTAGCGGCAGTAGGGGCTTTGAATAATATCAGTCGGTGGTAAGACTTGGGTGATTGAGAAGTAATTTATGGTAGTGGGTGGGACTTGGAATTCTTGAGGGATGTTATTTGTGGAGTTCTTATTCTGAGGTGAGACTGTCTGTTAAGATTTTTTTTGAAAATACTAGTGAATGGAAATTAATTAATTTCTGGCTAATTGTCGTGTCGCAATGATTAAGAATTTAAGAAAGGAAAAAGGAATTTTCACTGTCCAAGAGCTAATAGACAGACTAAAGGCATAGAAATAGGCCCATTTTTTTAGTAACAGTATATGTCTGAAGACAATTAGCTTTTTACAATATATACAATTGAGTAATTACACTATATACAAATCTTCCAACTGACAGTCATCCAATTTTATACCGCCTTCTCAGGTTTAGGAAACAAATTTATCATATCCCTATCAGTTAAATGATTTAGAGTGAGTATTAACGCCTGCTCTTTTAAGGCAATGGTTGATAAATTGAAGGGAATTAGATTATTTTTGAGAATTTTAATAAGGATCAAAATTTCGCGTTGTAAATCTATTGTATCTGTGCATATATTTTAATTTGTTCGTATTTGATTAATTATAGTATTGTTAATTACTTTTTTGGATATGTTGGAGTTCCAATTTATTAATTTGTTAGTATTGAAATTGAAGTTTCTTGTTTTGTCAAAAAGTAAAATTTTTTTTGTGTAGTTAATGATTTGAAGATCTAGAAAGTCTATGCTATTTTGTGAATTATTAGTTTTATTAAGTGTAAGACAATTCGGATAAATCTCGGAGTGTTCAATTTTACCAAAATTATAGGTGTGTTTGTAGTAATTTAACTCTTATGGTTGTAGATTTTTTTGGAAGTTAAATTCTTTGACAAATAAAAAGATATTACAGATCGAGGTGCTGGAATGTAAGCCCATTGGCAATCCTCTGACTTGTTTAAAAAGTTGATTTTGAAACTTGATGTAGTTATGAAAAAGTGTGCATTTTAGGTAGGTTTTCCATTTGTCAAGAGTCATGATATTGAGTATTAGGGAAAAGTTTAGGTAGATCAAGTAGACTGGTATAGATTTCTTCTAGAGGAAGTGAGGTATATAAGTTTTCAAATCATAGCAGTTAATGTTTTGGATGTTAATGGTTTGAATGGTATTAATGACAGGAGTGTTATTATGAATGATCCAGCAATAGTTATGATTAGTGTTACAATCATTGAAAATAAATTTACAGATTTTATTAAGTTGAATTGAAAAATAATAGTCTACATTTTTCTTGTAATTTATTAGTTCCATTAGCTATAAATCTAAATTTTAATTGGTTGTTTTATGGAATTGGGAATCGCCATAAAGATTAGTAAATCTTGTTGTAGTTTGCATTGAAAGTAATATTGAGTTTCTTATGAAAAGTTTTTTAATCCTGTTTATTATAGATGTTTCTGTAAGGTTGGCTAATTGATAAGTAGTTGCGTTGAGAAGTTCTTTATGAATAATTTCAGCGTAGAATTGTTTTCATATAATGCTAAGTTATTAGTTGCTTTATCTATTTTTGTAATAGTAAAAAGCTGTTTGTGTTTTAATTTTTAATATCTGATGTAAGTTGGGACCAATTCAGTGTACTTTTAAATTTGAGGTGACTGATTCGGTGTGGATATGCGTTGAAGAATTTTATCTTTCCATTTTAGAAGGTATCTATGGGTAAATTCAGTTGATAGCTTGCTTTTAACTATAATTTGTTGATGTTGTTTTCGAAAGTCTTGTAACAGTAATTTGTAGTCATGTTTCTGACTGGTCTAAATTTTGTACCATAACCTCATTAGTGTTTTTAGTTGATGGTTTTGTATGATATTCAGGTTGCCAGTAATAATATGTGCTGGTGATGAGAATCTACGTAATTGCTGTAAATTGGTGTCTTACAATGTCATTCTGCTGTTTCATCTATTTCATGGTGGTTAGTGAGCAAGTTGCTTAAGGTCCTTTGATATTTAAATGCAATCATATTGGTATTGTGTCAAAATGCGGGCGGGGAAGTAATCTTTACAATCTCTGATGATTCTTGAGAAATGAATATTGTCAAACTGCGGATTGCAGAAAATTGACTTTAAAATAAATTTTGCGTTGAGTGAGACTATTAGAGAGTCGAAAAGACTAAAATCAAGAATCATGTCTTTAATGATTTGTATGTCGTCGTAGCTTTCTTGAATGAATTTTTTTAGTTTGATAAGGAATTTATTAGTACAGGAGTGTAACCAGTTGAAGAAGTTTCTTGGGAAAGTTGTCTGAGTCAAAAAAACATTTCAATTGTTTTTTCAATGCAAGTGTATCCAAAGTGGATAAAAATCTTCGCATTATTTTTTAATTTTGCTTCCTCTTTTTCCTCTCTGCGTTTTGTTGCTGTAGTGCTTAAATGGCTGCTGAAAATAGACTTCTTAGAAGTATCTCTATGACTATGTATATAAGTGTTAAGTCCATATGGATAAAGTGAACGTTGTTTTAGTATATAGAGAGATTCCTGAAAAATTCGTGTTTTGTGATTGGGTATTATATCTAGTATCTGAAGTTGAATAGAGTTGAAGTCATGGTGTTTAAAGTGTTCTAATTCTGCTGTATTGAGTTGTGATGGGTGATGGTGTACTTATTTTAATGCTATTTTTTGTGCGTTGAATTTTTTGATTTGAGCTCTATGGTTATTGATTCGAAAGTTAAGATTGTTTTTAGTCTGTCATATATTTAAATATATATATATATGTATGTATGTATATCCACCCCCTTACGCTGCCTTTATTTTCACAGTTTTTGGCTGTAGATGTATACTTTCTATTACAAAAGTGTTTTAGATTATGAAAATATTCATGTTTTGCCAATTTCAAATTTTAAAAGAATGTTAATTTAGGACAAATAATGAAATCTTACTTTTAATATAGTCTTCTGGTTGCTATATTTGTCTTTGGGAAAGTTTTATACTCATTATGAAAACAAGAAATTTGACTTATTTCGTGTATTTTTAAATTGAAATTTGTTTGGGACATAAATTAACCATTATATTTAATTTTAAAATATGTCATTTTTAGGTCATTTTCAACTTGTCTTAAAGAATCAGTTAATCATGTTAGAATAATTTAAAGAAATAAGGGTGAAAATATATTTACGGGTGCCCCTTGGCGATTTCTGGCGGTACTTGAATACCGAGTTTGTCCAATTCTTTCACTTGTTATTTTGTCTTTGTGTAGTGGTGATTTTTGATGTATGTACACATTGACTTATTTTCACTTAAAAAAAGTTCAGAGAATTGCACAAACTTGGCATTGTGCACTCCCTTGACTTTGTCCATGTACACATCGATCTATATTCACTTAAAAAGTCAAAGGAGCAGCCAACAAAAATTATATAATCTCAATAAACTACATTTTAAATCAAGCAATCAAATAACATAAAAAAGGATCATCTTAGCACTACAGAAAGGAAATATCCACTTACCTTATTTAGAAATTTCCCTTTCTTCAGTCAACCAAAATTCCTTAACAGCATCCAAAAACTTCCTAAAATTATCTGAACTAGAATCTGTACACTGGTGACATAACATAAATTCACAAAAATAAGAGTAAAAAATATCCTTCGTAGCGCCGATATCCTCTGACGTTCGACCATGTGCATTTCTAAAAACAGGGCACTTATAATGCCTTCTAAGTAAATTTTCACACCACTCAATTAATGCTCTTTTTCCCCTTTCTTTCCAAATCATACAGAAACTTCAAATTAATCTAAACCACAAAATGAGCTATGTACTTCCTAACCAACACACACCACAAACCCTTACATCTCTTTTCCCATAATTCAAAATTTACTGCAATAACGCAGCCAATTATTTCATAATAGGACTTTCATAACATTCAACTTCTCAGGTTACCATAAATGAAATAACAACTTTGCAATAATAGAAGGGGCACCCTTCAATTTACTCTGACTGAAATAAGTTTAAATGAAACACATAGAAGGAACTTATGTAGTGGCATCAAATTTTTAAATGATGTTTTTAGATGACATAAAAATATTAAATTAACACTATGCAGTTAAGTTATGTATATTCAAGTTTCTTTATGACGAATTTAAAATTTGTATTTTTAACACTTTTTCCCTCAGTAATTCAGCTTATACCTTTGATTTTATTTCCTATGTATATATATACAAATATGTTTGGACTTTTTTTTTTTTTTTTTTCAGAATAAGTCAAAAAGAATTACGACAACAGATAGAAAGTTTATCAGAAGGTAATTATAGATATATTTTTTTAACTGGGAAACATCATTTGCAAATTCCTCTAAATTTATAAGCATTTACTTAAAAATATAGTTTTATATTAATAGTTTTTAATTTTAAATTTCAGAAAATTGACAGAAATAGTAGTAGTATTGCTTTCTAGTTACTATACTGCAAATAAATAAACTAAGAAGAAAAATCTAAAATGTAACTTTTTTAGAAACTTATAAATCCAGAATTTAAAACTCGCTGAAATAAAATTGCATGCACACAAATATGTACAGTACAAAGTCCAACATCCAGACTTATCGGGACTTCAGTGTTTCAGGATTTTGGATTTTTCAGATATTAGATCATTAGTTTAAATCTAGTAAGATGACATGTAGAAATTATAAAGTTAATATGAAATAATGCAGCATTTATGACTATATGACTGTAAGGGATCAAAATTAAAAATACACATATATATTTATTTATTTGTTTGCTTTAAACATTTGCTATAAAAAATTTCTTTCAATGTAAGTTTTTTAATTTATTTCATTTTTTGTGCTAGTACATTCTCAACAACCTTGCTCTCAATTTCTTCACTATCAGTTGAGATATTTTCAGGATTTAGAAATATGCTGCAGATTTCACTATTCATTAATTGATTGATAATTGGGGCATTGTCATTGTAATGAAAAACTTTAGTTATACAGTCAAAAGTCATTAATCCAGACTCGTCAAGACTTCGGCGGTTCCGGATTATCGATTTTTCCAGATTATAGATCATCAGTTTAAATCTGGTAAGGTGGCATGCAGAAATTATAAAATTAAAAATATGAAACCGTAATTTATGAAATAAAGAACAATTATGATCTAAAGGGTATCAAAATTTACAAAAAAAAAAAAAGCTTAATATTTATTTGTTTACTTAATTAAACATTTCTTTCAATGTAAGTTGTTTAAGAAGTTGCTTCGTTTTTTGTGTGATAATACATTCTCTTTAATTCTATAAACAGACATAATTTCTTGTTCAGTTACAAAGTTCCGCTGTTCAAGTCCTATAATTGCTGTGTCGAGAATACCGACGACTAATTTGTCAATCGAAATTTTTTCGTTTTCAATAACCTCTGTCACTTTCTTCGCTATCGGAAGCGAATTATAATGACGAGGAGGAAATTGATTTAAATCATATCAAAGAGAGTACATCGAGATGAAATACTATATTAGTAAGGAATTATAAGCCAAATAAAATAAAAAACATCTGCCCTGAAGATAAGGATAGTGCTGACAGATCAACTTCCAATTCATGTGAGCGCAGCGGCTTTAAAGATAAACAAAACTTTAAAGTTTAGATAAACAAAGGATATGCCTTTATCCATTTTTTTGCAGCAATTCCACTTTTTGTTTAATGAACTTCGAAAATACTTTCGCTTTGTAGATCCTTTACATATTAATAAATATATATCAGAAATTCTATTTGACATAATCGAAAGTTCAAGCTTACTTTTATAAAATTGCTCTAACAGTCTGCAAAAAATAATAAGCCGATCCAATTCGAAGATTAAGGAACAACGCAATCTGCAAACTAACTGAAATAGATAAATTAGATCATTTTAGCTTAGCTTATACCGTCTGTTATACATTAAACGCGCACTCGTAAACGTATTTCGCGCACACGCACAAGCATATTCGCAGTCGTAAAGGTCTTACGCGCATGCGTCAACGCGGCGCATGCACAGAAAGTTTGTAGCTTTGAGGTCCGGATTATGGGTGTCCAAATTAACGACTTTTGACTGTATCATTTTCATTTATTACCTTTTCTCCATGTTTCTTTACAAATTCCACAAATAGGAAAACTTCGCTTTTTGTTTGTGATGTCTGAAAACTTCAAATTTGCAACTATCATCATAAAGCATAGCTATTCTGTGTTATACAGTATTAGCAATGTATCATGAGATTGCTGACTAAAGATATTCTGTTAAATTTTGTCTTGCTTCTATTACACATTGACAATGCTAAGCCTGAATTATATTAGTTTAGTTATTTATTATACTTATGACTTTTTCCCTCTTATGCTTAAGGCATATCTGAATCTTGAATAAATAAATTCCCCCATAAACTTAAGACTTATCCAGAGCCAGTGCTAGACATTTTGCAGCTCGGTGCAGTCTCTTTCCAAAATTCTGCTGCCAAGCACCTCTCTAAATTCTAAAAATTCTGCTACTCCTAAATTTCATATTCCAGCACCTTCCATAAATTTTTAACATTTTGCCATCCCTTAATTTTATTGCTTGGTGCTTCTAAAAATTTTGCTTTCCCGTAATTCTGCGGGCTGGTATGCTGCACCAATTCTGACAGTTGTCCTGGACTTAACAGAATACAAATCAGTTTTCTCAATTCAAACAGCACTAAATGTAATCTTTTAGGCTGTGACTATCATTTACAAAATCTACTTTTTGCATATGGAAAGAAATTTTTGTTAAATAACCTCCTTATAACACATTGCCTTGCAACATAAGATCATAATTAGAGTGGAGTTAGTTGAAATCAGTAATCATCTCCTAGCATAATATCAGTATAAAAGGTTACCAATATCTTTGGTGTTCATGAAAATATTTGTTTAGATATTGCTGCAGAGTCATCACAAAGTCACTTTAAAAAGGCAAAGAAAATGCATGTGATACAATAACATGCATGAAATATTTTATATTTTGCTGAATGGTAAAATAGTTTAATTTGGTTAGTAGCAACACATTTCTCTTATACAGTCAAAAGTCGTTAATCCGGACTCGTCGGGACTTTGGCAATTCCGGATTATAGATCATCAGTATAAATCTGGTAAGATGGCATGCAGAAATTATAAAATTCAAAATATGAAACCGTAATTTATGAAATAAAGAACAATTATGATCTAAAGGGTATCAAAATTTACAAAAAAAAAAAAAAAAAAAAAAGCTTAATATTTATTTTGTTACTTTATTAAACATTTCTTTCAATGTAAGTTGTTTAAGTTGCTTCGTTTTTTATGTGATAATACTTTCTCTTTAATTCTATAAACAGACTTAATTTTTTCTTCACTTACAAAGTTCCGCTGTTAAAATCCTATAATTGCTGTGTCGAGAATACCGACTAATTTGTCAATTGAAATTTTTTCGTTTTCAATAAACTCTGTCACTTTCTTCGCTATTGGAAGCGAATTATAATGACGAGGAATTTGATTTAAATCATATCAAAGATGGAGTACATCGAGATGAAATACTACATTTAATAAGGAATTATAAGCCAAATAAAATAAAAACATCTGCCCTGAAGATAAGGATAATGCTGACAGATCAACTACCAATTCATTGCGCGGTGCCCTGGCGTTAAAGATAAACAAAGTTTAGATAAACAAACGTTAAAGTTTAGATAAACAAAGGATATGCCTTTATCCATTTTTTGTAGCAATTCCACTTTTTGTTTAATAAACTTCGAAACATACTTTCGCTTTGTAGATAATTTACATATTAATAAATATATATCAGAAATTCTATTTGACATAATCAAAAGTTCAAGCTTACTTTTATAAAATTGCTCTAACAGTCTGCAAAAAATAATAAGCTGGATCCAATTCGAAGATTAAGAAACAATGCAATCTGCAACATTAACTGAAATAGATAATTAAATAAGCTCCGTCCATTATACATTAAACGCGCACTCGTAAACGTAATTTGCGCACTCGCACAAGCATATTCTCAGCCGTAAAGCTTCAAACTTTCTGTGCATGCGTCAGCGCGGCGCATGCGCAGAAAGTTTGAAGCTTTGAGGTCTGGATTATAGATCATTCTGGATTATGGGTGTCCGAATTAACGACTTTTGACTAGTCAAGTTTGTTTATTAAATTCAAGTTAAATTAATTTTCTTTTCCCATACAGCAACAAAATTTTTTTATAGCGCCAAGTTTCCTGATCAAATTTGAAACTATGATTTACAGAGTGGTAACACAAAACTCTTAAATCGCTGAGCTTTTACTCAAAAGCTCATTAAATTAGTGTAAAATGTATGTATATAAAGAGTGCAGACCCCATGGGGCTGGTTTTTGAGAAATCTTATGTAGACAATGACCTTCCTTTTCTTTTGAAAGTCAAGTGTGGAAAGTTTCATAAAGATTGGAATTAAACTGTAGATTTGTATAAATATATATTGACTTACATTTGCTCTGTGTTTTTGATTACATCCGATTCTAGCAGGTACTACATGCTTTCAAAGTAGAAAAATATTAAATTTCTTCTTGAATTTAAAGATTTTCTAACAGTGTTTTCAATTATACATATACTATCTGTTATAGTTACTGGCTGTGATGCATATAACATTAAATGCTTTGAGATTATTTCTTGCTGCTAGTTGACTATGTGTGTGTGTTAGATCATACCTGAATTGTCTGAAGATAACGTGTTGCATAATTTATTCTTTTTAACCATTGCATTCAAAGTTAGAATAACATATATATGCATAATTAGTGTAATAGTTGTTAAATATAAATTGCATGTTCAGTACAGTCAAAAGTCCTTAATCAGGACACCCATAATCCGGAATGATCTATGATCCGGCTACAAACAACTACCTCAAAGCTACAAACCTTCTGCGCATGTGTCAACACAATAATGCGTTGGCGCATGCGCGTAATACCTTTACACATGCGCATAATACGTTTACGCATGCGCGTTTAATATATAACGGATGGTATAAACTAAGCTAAAATTATCTGTTTCTGTTAATGTTGCAGATTGCGTTGTTCCTTAATCTTCGAATTGGATCCGGCTTATTACTTTTTGAAGACTGTTAGAGCAATTTTATAAAAGTAAGTTGGAACTTTCGATTATGTCAAAAAGAATTTCCGAAGCTGGAGCTGCAAAAGGATTTACAAAGGGAAAGCATGTTTCGATGTCCATCAAACAAAAAGTGGAATTCCAACAAAAAATGGAAAAAGGCTCCTTTGTTTCTCTAACCATTCCGAAATCTGTTTATCAATTTCACGCTGCACTGC